ACATGTTGATAAATGTCATACATGTTGATAAATGTCATACATGTGATAAATGTCACACATGTGATAAATGTCACACATGTTGATAAATGTCACACATGTTGATAAATGTCACACATGTGATAAATGTCACACATGTTGATAAATGTCATACATTAAATGTCACACATGTGATAAATGTCATACATGTGATAAATGTCATACATGTGATAAATGTCACACATGTTGATAAATGTCATACATGTGATAAATGTCACACATGTTGATAAATGTCATACATGTGATAAATGTCACACATGTTGATAAATGTCACACATGTTGATAAATGTCATACATGTGATAAATGTCACACATGTTGATAAATGTCACACATGTGATAAATGTCACACATGTTGATAAATTTCATACATTAAATGTCACACATGTGATAAATGTCATACATGTGATAAATGTCATACATGTGATAAATGTCATACATGTTGATAAATGTCACACCTGTTGATAAATGTCACACATGTTGATAAATGTCATACATGTGATAAATGTCACACATGTTGATAAATGTCACACATGTGATAAATGTCATACATGTTGATAAATGTCACACATGTTGATAAATGTCACACATGTTGATAAATGTCACACATGTTGATAAATGTCACACATGATAAATGTCACACATGTGATAAATGTCACACATGTTGATAAATGTCATACATGTTAATAAATGTTGATAAAATATGGGACGAAGTGGCCTGCTTCGTCACAGTCCCGTACAAGCAGACTCCAAAACCAGACTAACAACCTAACCTAACCAGAGTGTTTTAAGCCTGGCCTTGAATGTAGAGACTGTGTTTCTGTTTCCTTAACGTGGATAAAGCTGATTTCACAGTAAAGGAGCTAGGTAGCTGAATGCGCCAACAGTGCTATTTTTGGTTGATATGACATCAACATGTCTTGGAGATAGGAAGGAGCCATTTATGGCTTTATATGTTAAGAGAAGGATTTTAAACTTTATTCTGTACTCCACAGGGAGCCAGTGGAGTGATTTTAACACCGGAGTTATGTGCTCCCTCCTTTTGGTACCTGTTAAGATCCTAGCTGCTGTATTCTGAACGTGCTGGAAGCTCTTCAAAGAGGTTTTAGGGCACGCTGCCAGTAAAGCGTTACAGTAGTCGAGCCTTGAGGTGACAAAAGCGTGAATACGTTTTTTCGCGTCACTTTTAGGAAGGAAATTCTTGATTTTAGCGATGTTCCGCAAGTGGAAGTACGCCGTTTTAGTTGCTTGGTTTATCCAGTGCCTTGCGAAAGTATTCGGCCCCCTTGAACCTTTCAACATTTCGCCACATTTCAGGCTTCAAACATAAAGATATAACATTTAAATTTTTTGTCATGAATCAACAACAAGTGGGACACAATCATGAAGTGGAACAAAATTTATTGGATAATTTAAACTTTTTTAACAAATAAAAAACTGAAAAGTGGGGCGTGCAATATTATTGGGCCCCTTTACTTTCAGTGCAGCAAACTCAGTCCAGAAGTTCAGTGAGGATCTTTGAATGATCCAATGTTGTCCTAAATGACTGATGATGATAAATAGAATGCACCTGTGTGTAATCAAGTCTCCGTATAAATGCACCTGCTCTTTGATAGTCTCAGGGTTCTGTTTAAAGCACAGAGAGAACCATGAAGACAAAGGAACACACCAGGCAGGTCCGAGATACTGTTGTGGAGAAGTTTAAAGCCGGATTTGGATACAAAAAGATTTCCCAAGCTTTAAACATCTCAAGGAGCACTGTGCAAACAATTATATTGAAATGGAAGGAGTATCAGACCACTGCAAATCTACCAAGACCCGGCCGTCCCTCCAAACTTTCATCTCAAACAAGGAGAAGACTGATCAGAGATGCAGCCAAGAGGCCCATGATCACTCTGGATGAACTGCAGATAACTACAGCTGAGGTGGGAGAGTCTGTCCATAGGACAACAATCAGTCGTGCACTGCACAAATCTGGCCTTTATGGAAGAGTGGCAAGAAGAAAGCCATTTCTCAAAGATATCCATAAAATGTCTCGTTTAAAGTTTGCCACAAGCCACCTGGGAGACACACCAAACATGTGGAAGAAGGTGCTCTGGTCAGATGAAACCAAAATCGAACTTTTTGGCCACAATGCAAAACGATGTTTGGTGTAAAAGCAACACAGCTCATCACCCTGAACACACCATCCCCACTGTCAAACATGGTGGTGGCAGCATCATGCTTTGGGCCTGCTTTTCTTCAGCAGGGACAGGGAAGATGGCTAAAATTGATGGGAAGATGGATGGAGCCAAATACAGGACCATTCTGGAAGAAAACCTGTTGGAGTCTGCAAAAGACCTGAGACTGGGACGGAGATTTATCTTCCAACAGCACAATGATCCAAAACATAAAGCCAAATCTACAATGGAATGGTTCACAAATAGACGTATCCAGGTGTTAGAATGGCCAAGTCAAAGTCCAGACCTGAATCCAATCGAGAATCTGTGGAAAGAGCTGAAGACTGCTGTTCACAAACGCTCTCCATCCAACCTCACTGAGCTCCAGCTGTTTTGCAAGGAAGAATGGGAAAGAATTCCAGTCTCTCGATGTGCAAAACTGATAGAGATATACCCCAAGCGACTTGCAGCTGTAATTGCAGCAAAAGGTGCCGCTACAAAGTATTAGCGCAAGGGGGGCCGAATAATATTGCACGCCCCACTTTTCAGTTTTTTATTTGTTAAAAAAGTTTAAATTATCCAATAAATGTTGTTGTTGTTGATTCTTGACAAAAAAACTTATTTTTATATCTTTATGTTTGAAGCCTGAAATTTGGAGAAATGTTGAAATGTTCAAGGGGGCCGAATACTTTCGCAAGGCACTGTATAAGCCTTGAAGGAGAGTTCTTCATAGAAAATGACTCCAAGCTTCCTCACAGTGTTGCTGGTTCTAAGCTGACATTATCGAGAGTAATTATCTGGTCGGCGAGGGAGTCATGCAGACTCTTTGGAACAAGTAGGATCACTTCTGTCTTCTCCGGGTTAAGCAGGAGGAAGTTAAGAGTCATCCACGTTTTAAGGTCCTTTATGCAGCACTAAGTCTTTTCAACTGATCTGTCTGATTTGGCTTCATCGACAGATAAAGATGTGTGTCATCTGCAGCAGTGGAAATTAATTCCATGCTTTTTAATGATGTTTCCTAACGGCAGCATGTAGAGAGTGAAAAGAATCGGTCAGAGTACAAAACCCTGCGGCACACCGAATTCCACTCTAGAGTAGGAAGACGAGTTTTGATTCACATTGACAAAGTGTATCACGATCTGATAAATAGGAATCAAACCAGCCAAGGGCTGTTCCTCTAAGACCTATACCACATTCTAGCCTCTGCAGTAGAATGCTGTGGTCTATTGTGTCAAATGCAGCACTAAGGTCCAGTAGGACCAGCACTGACACTTGTCCATTATCAGCAGCTAGTAGTAAGTCATTTGTGACTTTGACTAGTGCCGTTTCAGTCTATGATGAGCTCTGAATCCAGATTGAAAGACTTCAAACATATTATTTTCCTGCAGGTGGCAGCAAAGCTGTTCCAGGATTTTAGGTATGAAAGTAAGGTTCGAGATCGGTCTGTAGCTTGTAAGTAGTTCCGGATCCAGGTTTGTTTTCTTCAGAAGAGGTTTGATTACCGTACAACACACTCCTAAAGAGAAGCATCAGTGATGGAGAGAAACCCTGTTTCTGTCTCTACATTCAGCAGCTCGGACTTCATGCTCGGACTTCATCACGGCTCTGCTCTGATTATTATTGACAACGTGTCATCTCCTGGTGTCGGGGCAGAGCTGCTCTTCCTGCAGCTTTAACCACATGTGTGTTAGCTTTCATTAGCTTCCATTAGCTTTCAATAGCTTTCATTAGCTGTCATTAGCAGCTCCTCTGTTGTGACTCTAATCTCTCTGAGGTCTGGAGGCGAGGGACAGGCTTCAGGGCCTCGTCAGCTCTGCATCATTGGCTCTATGTGTTTTCTATGTTGTTAAAATATAGAAATACATAGATAGATAGATACTTCAATAAATAAAATTGGTTATTCTAAAAAGCTAACAATAGGAATAATAAAATGACCCTTCAGGTCACAGCAGCAGAGGTGGAGTAGCCTCTGGGTGGAGCAGGACGGGTCTCAGCAGCAGAGGTGGAGTAGCCTCTGGGTGGAGCAGGACTGGTCACAGCAGCAGAGGTGGAGTAGCCTCTGGGTGGAGCAGGACGGGTCACAGCAGCAGAGGTGGAGTAGCCTCTGGGTGGAGCAGGACTGGTCTCAGCAGCAGAGGTGGAGTAGCCTCTGGGTGGAGCAGGACTGGTCACAGCAGCAGAGGTGGAGTAGCCTCTGGGTGGAGCAGGACGGGTCACAGCAGCAGAGGTGGAGTAGCCTCTGGGTGGAGCAGGACTGGTCACAGCAGCAGAGGTGGAGTAGCCTCTGGGTGGAGCAGGACTGGTCACAGCAGCAGAGGTGGAGTAGCCTCTGGGTGGAGCAGGACGGGTCTCAGCAGCAGAGGTGGAGTAGCCTCTGGGTGGAGCAGGACGGGTCTCAGCAGCAACTGGTCTCCAAATAGATGAAAAACTTGCTCTCCCATTTTAATACTTTTTATACTTTAGTGCGTCTCTGCACAGTACATCTGGACATGACAAAAGCCAATTTCAAGTAACATATTGGACACACTTCCTCGGGCCCCGACTGGGGGAAAGGGCCTAAGGGCCTGGGTTGGAGACACCTGTGATCGGTTCAACGCTGTCCAAGCAGCAGAGCAGCACATTCTGCCTAATGTCCTGGACAATTTGAAGTTTGCTCCTGTTTACTTACACAAAGTTTGATTACCACCAAACGTGAATCGGTTCAACCTGGACTGGATCTGGACTGGACCTGAACTGGACCTGGACTTGACCTGGAACAGACCAGACTGATTACTGAGTTGTTGTTGATGGTAGTGTCTCTGTCGCAGGCGGCCTGTATCCCCGTCATCCTCAGTAACGGTTGGGAGCTGCCCTTCTCTGAGGTCCTCGACTGGAGGAAGGCGGCCGTCATCGGGGACGAGAGGCTGCTCCTACAGGTACCAACCTTTAGCTCCTACAGGTACCGACCTTTAGCTCCTACAGGTACCGACCTTTAGCTCCTACAGGTACCGACCTTTAGCTCCTACAGGTACCGACCTTTAGCTCCTACAGGTACCGACCTTTAGCTCCTACAGGTAACGACCTTTAGCTCCTACAGGTACCAACCTTTAGCTCCTACAGGTACCGACCTTTAGCTCCTACAGGTAACGACCGTTTAGCTCCTACAGGTACCGACCTTTAGCTCCTACAGGTAATGACCGTTTAGCTCCTACAGGTACCGGCCTTTTAGCTCCTACAGGTACCGACCTTTAGCTCCTACAGGTACCGACCTTTAGCTCCTACAGGTAACGACCGTTTAGCTCCTACAGGTACCGACCTTTAGCTCCTACAGGTAATGACCGTTTAGCTCCTACAGGTACCGACCTTTAGTTCCTACAGGTACCAACCTTTAGCTCCTACAGGTAACGACCGTTTAGCTCCTACAGGTACCGACCTTTAGCTCCTACAGGTAACGACCGTTTAGCTCCTACAGGTACCGACCTTTAGCTCCTACAGGTAACGACCGTTTAGCTCCTACAGGTACCGACCTTTAGCTCCTACAGGTACCGACCTTTAGCTCCTACAGGTACCGACCTTTAGCTCCTACAGGTACCGACCTTTAGCTCCTACAGGTACCGACCGTTTAGCTCCTACAGGTACCGACCTTTAGCTCCTACAGGTACCGACCTTTAGCTCCTACAGGTACCGACCTTTAGCTCCTACAGGTACCGACCTTTAGCTCCTACAGGTAACGACCGCTTAACTCCTACAGGTACCGACCTTTAGCTCCTACAGGTACCGACCTTTAGCTCCTACCGGTACCGACCGTTTAGCTCCTACCGGTACCGACCTTTAGCTCCTACAGGTACCGACCTTTAGCTCCTACAGGTACCGACCTTTAGCTCCTACAGGTACCGACCTTTAGCTCCTACAGGTACCGACCTTTAGCTCCTACAGGTACCGACCTTTAGCTCCTACAGGTAATGACCGTTTAGCTCCTACCGGTACCGACCTTTAGCTCCTACAGGTACCGACCTTTAGCTCCTACAGGTAATGACCGTTTAGCTCCTACCGGTACCGACCTTTAGCTCCTACAGGTACCGACCGTTTAGCTCCTACCGGTACCGACCTTTAGCTCCTACAGGTACCGACCTTTAGCTCCTACAGGTACCGACCTTTAGCTCCTACAGGTAACGACCGTTTAGCTCCTACAGGTACCGACCTTTAGCTCCTACAGGTACCGACCTTTAGCTCCTACAGGTACCAGCCTTTTAGCTCCTACAGGTACCAGCCTTTTAGCTCCTACAGGTACCAGCCGTTTAGCTCCTACAGGTAACGACCGTTTAACTCCTACAGGTACCGACCTTTAGCTCCTACAGGTACCGACCTTTAGCTCCTACAGGTACCAGCCTTTTAGCTCCTACAGGTACCAGCCTTTTAGCTCCTACAGGTACCAGCCTTTTAGCTCCTACAGGTACCGGCCTTTTTAGCTATTTCAGGTACCAGTATTTTTAGCTGTGTGTGTGTGCGGACGTGTGAGTGTGTGTGTGTGGATGTGTCTGTGTGTGAGGCAGAACTTAATGCAACTCTCCGCCGCAGTCTCCGCCGCTGTCTCTGCCGCAGTCTCCGCCGCTGTCTCTGCCGCAGTCTCCGCCGCTGTCTCCGCCGCAGTCTCCGCCGCTGTCTCTGCCGCAGTCTCCGCCGCAGTCTCCGCCGCAGTCTCCGCCGCAGTCTCCGCCGCAGTCTCCGCCGCTGTCTCCGCCGCAGTCTCCGCCGCTGTCTCCACCGCAGTCTCTGCCGCAGTCTCCGCCGCTGTCTCTGCCGCAGTCTCTACCATATTCTCCGCCGCAGTCTCCGCCGCACTCTCCGCCGCAGTCTCCGCCACAGTCTCCGCCGCAGTCTCCGCCACAGTCTCCGCCACAGTCTCCGCCACAGTCTCCGCCGCAGTCTCCGCCGCAGTCTCCGCCGCTGTCTCTGCCGCAGTCTCCGCCGCTGTCTCCGCCGCAGTCTCCGCCGCTGTCTCCACCGCAGTCTCTGCCGCAGTCTCCGCCGCTGTCTCTGCCGCAGTCTCTACCATATTCTCCGCCGCAGTCTCCGCCGCACTCTCCGCCGCAGTCTCCGCCGCACTCTCCGCCGCAGTCTCCGCCACAGTCTCCGCCGCAGTCTCCGCCACAGTCTCCGCCACAGTCTCCGCCACAGTCTCCGCCGCAGTCTCCGCCGCAGTCTCCGCCGCTGTCTCTGCCGCAGTCTCTACCGTATTCTCCGCCGCAGTGTCCGCCTTAGTCTTCGCCGCCGTCTCTCCCGCAGACCGCGGCCTCTCGCTGAGAGACTTCCATCTCATTTCTTTCAATTACATCAGAGAGCGGCTCAACTGTTTATTATGTACAACGTTTACCTCGGCAACCACACAGTCACACACACAGTCACACACGCAGTCACACACACAGGTCCCCGCTGAGACACACAGTCACACACACAGTCACACACACAGGTCCCCAGCAGAGACACACACAGTCACACACACGAGCCCCCGCGGAGACACACAAACACTATTAGAGGCAATTAGAGCAAAGAGAAGTGAGATGATTTGATTGGTGTTTATGCGTGTGTGTTTATATGTGTGTGTCTGTGTGTGTGTTTATGTGTGTGTGCGTTTATGTGTGGCCTCTGAGACTGGAGCAATTACACACCTACTCTGCTGTGGACGGGAGAGTGACGTCTGCTCGCTGAGGCTGTGGACATGATATTAAATAAATGTATATGTGTGTGTGTGTGTGTGTGTCTGTGTGTGTGGGTGATTAATATAGGCTCTCAAATGGCGGTGCATTAGAATTAAGTGTCTAGGGTTCAATCTTAATCAGTCAATTATAAAGACCGAAGTGTCAGGCCCAAGGATACAACTCCATCAGACTCTGCATTCTCCACAAGGAACATGTCAAAGATGGACTGCACAGTATTTCGACTTAGAGAGGCTGTTGTGTGTTACTGTATGTACAGATTCAGATTCATTTATTTGCCATTTGCAGTAAAACCACATTGGAATACCTTTGCAAAAGTCCCCAGTGTGCACAAGACAAGCACAGGCATAAAAAAACATTAAAAGTACAGAAATAAAACAAATAAAAGAGTAAACAATTGTCACTGTGAAATCGATCGACCAAAACAATATCAATACAAGTGCAATATCATTTTAAAGTGCTCTGTTCAAGCTGATAACAGCCTGTGGAAAAAAGCTGTTAGCATAACAAGATGTCCTCCATCTCAGAGAACGATATCTTCTGCCAGAGGGAAGAAGCTGGAACAAGGCTTTTCCAGGGTGCCCAGAAGAGTCATTGATAATTCTAAGAGCTCTGTTTAAAAGTCTGGATTTATATACTGCACAGTATTTAGACTTAGTACACTGCAGAAAAGGGTCACATCTGAGGTCATCTTTGAATCCAGTGTTTTTTTGTTTTTTTTAATCATAATCTAACATGCCGTAAAATGGTCACTTAGTCTATGACCGGTACTGAGTTTATGACCGGTACTGAGTTTATGACCGGTACTGAGTTTATGACCGGTACTGAGTCTAGGACTGGTACTTAGTCTATGACCGGTACTTAGTCTATGACCGGTACTGAGTCTAGGACTAGTACTGAGTCTATGACCGGTACTTAGTCTATGACCGGTACTGAGTCTATGACCGGTACTGAGTCTATGACCGGTACTTAGTCTATGACCGGTACTGAGTCTATGACCGGTACTGAGTCTATGACCGGTACTGATTCTATGACCGGTACTTAGTCTATGACCGGTACTTAGTCTGTGACCGGTACTTAGTCTATGACCGGTACTTAGTCTATGACCGGTACTGAGTCTATGACCGGTACTGAGTCTATGACCGGTACTTAGTCTATGACCGGTACTTAGTCTATGACCGGTACTGAGTCTATGACCGGTACTGAGTCTATGACCGGTACTGAGTCTATGACCGGTACTTAGTCTATGACCGGTACTTAGTCTGTGACCGGTACTGAGTCTATGACCGGTACTTAGTCTATGACCGGTACTTAGTCTGTGACCGGTACTTAGTCTATGACCGGTACTGAGTCTATGACCGGTACTGAGTCTATGACCGGTACTGAGTCTATGACCGGTACTGAGTCTATGACCGGTACTTAGTCTATGACCGGTACTTAGTCTATGACCGGTACTTAGTCTATGACCGGTACTGAGTCTATGACCGGTACTGAGTCTATGACCGGTACTGAGTCTATGACCGGTACTTAGTCTATGACCGGTACTTAGTCTGTGACCGGTACTGAGTCTATGACCGGTACTGAGTCTATGACCGGTACTGAGTCTATGACCGGTACTGAGTCTATGACCGGTACTTAGTCTATGACCGGTACTGAGTCTATGACCGGTACTGAGTCTATGACCGGTACTGAGTCTATGACCGGTACTTAGTCTATGACCGGTACTTAGTCTGTGACCGGTACTGAGTCTATGACCGGTACTTAGTCTATGACCGGTACTTAGTCTGTGACCGGTACTTAGTCTGTGACCGGTACTGAGTCTATGACCGGTACTTAGTCTATGACCGGTACTTAGTCTGTGACCGGTACTTAGTCTATGACCGGTACTGAGTCTATGACCGGTACTGAGTCTATGACCGGTACTGAGTCTATGACCGGTACTTAGTCTATGACCGGTACTTAGTCTATGACCGGTACTGAGTCTATGACCGGTACTGAGTCTATGACCGGTACTGAGTCTATGACCGGTACTTAGTCTATGACCGGTACTTAGTCTGTGACCGGTACTGAGTCTATGACCGGTACTTAGTCTATGACCGGTACTGAGTCTGTGACCGGTACTTAGTCTATGACCGGTACTTAGTCTATGACCGGTACTGAGTCTATGACCGGTACTGAGTCTATGACCGGTACTGAGTCTATGACCGGTACTGAGTCTATGACCGGTACTGAGTCTATGACCGGTACTTAGTCTATATGACCGGTACTGAGTCTATGACCGGTACTTAGTCTATGACCGGTACTTAGTCTATGACCGGTACTGAGTCTATGACCGGTACTGAGTCTATGACCGGTACTGAGTCTATGACCGGTACTTAGTCTATGACCGGTACTTAGTCTGTGACCGGTACTTAGTCTATGACCGGTACTGAGTCTATGACCGGTACTGAGTCTATGACCGGTACTGAGTCTATGACCGGTACTTAGTCTATGACCGGTACTGAGTCTATGACCGGTACTGAGTCTATGACCGGTACTGAGTCTATGACCGGTACTTAGTCTATGACCGGTACTTAGTCTATGACCGGTACTGAGTCTATGACCGGTACTGAGTCTATGACCGGTACTGAGTCTATGACCGGTACTGAGTCTATGACCGGTACTTAGTCTATGATTCACATTAACAAAGTGATACTGATCCGATAAAAAGGATAAAGCTCTAAATGGTGTCACATGCTCCGCAGTAGAATGCTGTGGTCTATTGGATCAGATGCAGCTGAGTCCAGTTGGACCAGCACCGACGTCCATTATCAGCAGCAGGAGTGAGTCATTTGGGACTTTGACTAGTGCTGTTTCCGTCTACGATGAGCTCTGAAAGATTAGGACAACACTGTTGCTGTAGTTGTGCGTCTGTGTGCTGTTGTGTCCTTGTTGTGTATTATTGTCATTGTGACATCAATAGTTTGATTGTGTTAAGTTTGGGGGTGTGGTGTTGGCTTCTGCCCACTCCTTTTGAGCAGAATTTAATACTGTTTGAACAAACTAACAAATTAATAAAATGAGTTGTCAGAGTTTATGAACGTATTATTTTGACTCCATCAAGTTTTAGTATCTTTAAAACACTTTATGTATTTGAGACTTTTAGACTTAGGCAGACAAGCTCATGGGCCTTTATTTCAGTTTGTTCAGACTTTGTTCAGAGTTTGTTCAGAGTTTGTTCAGACTTTGTTCAGAGTTTGTTCAGACTTTGTTCAGAGTTTGCCTCAGTCCAAACAACAGAGACGTGACTGAAGTCACTTGAATATTCCATTTTGTGAAAGCCAGTCCTTACATAATGTTGAAACAGGTTGGTCACATGGTTATTCCTGTTGGTTCACATGTTTTTTCCTGGTGGGTCACATGGTTATTCCTGGTTGGTCACATGGTAATTCCTGGTGGGTAACATGGTTATTCCTGGTGGGTAACATGGTTGTTCCTGGTGGGTCACATGGTTGTTCCTGGTTGGTCACATGGTTGTGCCTGGTTGGTCACATGGTAATTCCTGGTGCGACTGAACCAAACCAAATGGACAGAATGGATTCATATGAACCTGAAGTTTACAGAAAGAATCAAATCAATAAAGAAAACACAGAATAAACTTTATTGAAACGTGACTCTTTACACTAAAGATATTTGTTTAAAAAATGGGAAAAAGAGTCAAAGATCCTTGGATCATGTTAGACTTTCTCATTCTAAATTCTACACAGAGTGACTTTAAAATATACAGATACATTCCACCTTAAAACCACTGGATACTTCTCCTTTAATGTGTAAAATATACAGATAAATACCACCTTAAAACAACTGGATACTTCTCCTTTAATGTGATAAGATCATAGACCCCACAACTGTGCTCTCACTAACCTCACCTGTGTGTGTGTGTGTGTGTGTGTGTGTGTGTGTGTGTGTGTGTGTGTGTGTGTGTGTGTGTCTGTATGTGTGTGTGTGTCTCTCTGTGTGTGTGTGTGCCTGTGTGCCTGTGTGTACAGGTGCCCTCCATCACTCGGTCCGTGGTCCGGGACCGGATTCTGTCGCTACGGCAACAGAGCCAGTTCTTATGGGACGCCTACTTCTCGTCAGTCACAAAGATTGTACTCACCACCATCGAGGTATGGGTCACACATGGTCCTTTCACTGGTCCACATCTGGTCCACTTTAACTAGTCCACATCTGGTTCACTTTCACTGGTCCACATCTGGTCCACTTTAACTAGTCCACATCTGGTCCACTTTAACTAGTCCACATCTGGTCCACTTTAACTAGTCCACATCTGGTCCACTTTCACTGGTCCACATCTGGTTCACTTTAACTAGTCCACATCTGGTCCACTTTAACTAGTCAACATCTGGTTCACTTCAACTAGTCCACATCTGGTCCACTTTCACTGGTCCACATCTGGTCCACATACAATACAATACAAGACAATTTATTCTTGTATAGCCCTAGGTCACAACAGAAGTCATCTCAGAGACTTAACAAAACCATTGAAATCACCAACACAGGTCAGAGAATCAACAGTTAAAACACATGAAGAATATAAAGCACACACAGAAGAAAATGTCCATACATGTTGTAGAATGCTAAAGTGTCCTGATCATCACCAATCCTTTCTGTTGGACACTAACTGTCCAACAAGACCCTCCTGCATCCACAAGGAAAAACTCTTAAAAAACCCAGTGGGAAAAAGTGAGAAACCTTGGGGAGAACTAGGGAAACCCACAGGGAGGGAGACCCATATGAGAAAGGGATCCGCTCCTCCGGACGGACAGGCTAATGATCCAGGAGCTAAGCTAGCTACAGAACGTGGACCAGTGGACGCTGAACGTGGACAGGTCCGGTGCAGGACTGAAGCACTCCCAGGCGGGTCGGGCGGGGCAGTCCGCAGGTGTAGATGGAAGAGGCCAGGCTCAGAGATCCCGTCATCGTACCATGAAACAGACAATGGGACAACGGGTGAATAGCAATGAACAAACTACAGTCAGAATCCTAAAAATGCTAAACAGATAAAGTAGGAAGGAGGAGAGGATAGTGCTCAAGTTACCATACTTCTCCAGCAGGGGGCTCCCTATGCAGCTTGACTGACAGTCAGAGGAGTTTAGCCTTCCCTAGCTATATGCTAACTAAAGAGGACTGTTTCAGCCTAGCCTAGAACGTAGGGTTGAAGATGCAGCGGACCAGGTCCCACATACGCAGACTCCAAGACCGGACGAAACCTGACCAACAACACTTTAACTGGTCTACATCTGGTTCACTTTCACTGGTCCACATCTGGTCCACTTTAACTGGTCCAAATCTGGTTCACTTTCACTGGTCCACATCTGGTCCACTTTAACTGGTCCACATCTGGTTCACTTTAACTGGTCCACATCTGGTTCACTTTAACTGGTCCACATCTGGTTCACTTTCACTGGTCCACATCTGGGCCACTTTAACTGGTCCACATCTGGTTCAAATAAACGCAGGTCACTTAAAGTAGCAGTATGTAATATTTTCATGTCAAGTCATCTTTAAATGGCCCCAATATTTCAAAAGGCGTTATTAAATCATGCTCTTTACAATACATCTTTAACTGATAACAGTAGTTCAGAGATATTTCAATATCAAAATTAGTTTTAAAATCCGTAAAAGTTGTTATTGTTTTCATTTGATGTCCCGGCCGCCGCTGTTTCGTCAATCAGGAAGTCCGTGATCCGTGTCCTTGCCAGAACTCCTCGCGTCTAATCTCATGTGGCGCAGAACTAAAAATCTCTTATTATGATTCTCAAATCATTAATGACAAAACAAAGACTAAAACAAGGATTTATATCGGGACGCCTTTGAAAAATTAAGACAGCAAATACATTTTAGTTTGATGCCAAACTGGATGTAGTCCGTTTCCCTGGTCCAGAGCTCACGGTCCAGAGCTCACGGTCCAGAGCTCACGGTCCAGAGCTCACGGTCCAGAGCTCACGGTCCAGAGCTCACGGTCCAGAGCTCACGGTCCAGAGCTCACGGTCCAGAGCTCACGGTCCAGAGCTCACGGTCCAGAGCTCACGGTCCAGAGCTCACGGTCCAGAGCTCACGGGTTTGAGTCCGGGAAGTGTCTTCTTGTGTAATATTACATTTTATGACAGATTAGTCCAAATCTGGTAAAAGACAATAATCAATAAGTTTTTTTTGCAGATTATATTTTATTTGTAAAAAGAATCATTTAAAAAATTTGAAAAATAGGGAATAATAAAATGTGAGGGGGATATCCTCTGGAGGAAACCCTGATGCATTCTTCCCACTCCTATTTTGGACATCAATTGCTTATTTATATTTCAGAATCTATGCATAATTAAATTGTTTTTTTTTGTTTTTCTCATCTCAAAGTTCCAAATAATTATTTTTTAAAAACATTCATTCAACATTAGCACGGCTCATGGCAAACAACTGATCCAATAATTCCCTGTGTTTGCTGCTGGATTTGGTTTGTATCTGGCAACCTGAGTTAGGGAGAGTGGAGAGGACTTTGACTGTGACTGCAGTACCACTTTATTTATTTTATTTATTTAACTTATTTTAAAGGGACAGTGTACAATTAGAACATAAATGTTTCCATTTGATGAATTGTACCGGTGTTAGCCTGAGGCTAATTAGCATCCGTAGTCCCCCGGCAGGAAGAACACTATAAAATAACACAAACTCATACCATAAAACACACATGTGTATACAGTCAGCAGATACACACAGGGCAAACACACAATCACAGACGTATTCCCACACACAAGCACACAATCACAGACGTATTCCCACACACAAGCACACAATCACAGACGTATTCCCACACACAAGCACAGACGTATTCCCACACACAAGCACACAATCACAGACGTATTCCCACACACAAGCACACAATCACAGACGTATTCCCACACACAAGCACACAATCACAGACGTATTCCCACACACAAGCACAGACGTATTCCCACACACAAGCACACAATCACAGACGTATTCCCACACACAAGCACACAATCACAGAGGTATTCCCACACACAAGCACACAATCACAGAGGTATTCCCACACACAAGCACACAATCACAGAGGTATTCCCACACACAATCACAGAGGTATTCCCACACACAAACACACAATCACAGAGGTATTCCCACACACAAGCACACAATCACAGAGGTATTCCCACACACAAGCACACAATCACAGAGGTATTCCCACACACAAGCACACAATCACAGAGTGTCACGTGGGTGAAAGACAAATGAGGCCTTAAAATGCAAAACTGCAAAAAATAATGGTTTAATAAAAAGATAAAACAAATCCAAAACCACAGGGAACGAGGACAGAACTAAAACAGACTAGGAATGACAATGACGGAACAGGGAGTGAAGGAACACACAGGGCTAAATACAAGACTAACGAGACACAGGTGAGACAGATGAGGGCAGGGCAGGTAATCAGACAACAGGAAGTACAACCAAAGAAGACACAGGAATAACACATTTCAAAATAAAACAGGAAATAAACTTAAACCATGACACAGAGGTATTCCCACACACAAACACACAATCACAGAGGTATTCCCACACACAAACACACAATCACAGAGGTATTCCCACACACAAACACACAATCACAGACGTATTCCCACACACAAACACACAATCACAGAGGTATTCCCACACACAAACACACAATCACAGAGGTATTCCCACACACAAGCACACAATCACAGAGGTATTCCCACACACAAACACACAATCACAGAGGTATTCCCACACACAAGCACACAATCACAGAGGTATTCCCACACAGAAGCACACAATCACAGAGGTATTCCCACACACAATCACAGAGGTATTCCCACACACAATCACAGAGGTATTCCCACACACAAACACACAATCACAGAGGTATTCCCACACACAAGCACACAATCACAGACGTATTCCCACACACAAGCACACAATCACAGAGGTATTCCCACACACAAACACACAATCACAGAGGTATTCCCACACACAAGCACACAATCACAGAGGTATTCCCACACACAATCACAGAGGTATTCCCACACACAATCACAGAGGTATTCCCACACACAAACACACAATCACAGAGGTATTCCCACACACAAGCACACAATCACAGACGTATTCCCACACACAAACACACAAGCACACACAGTTACACACACACACAGGTGGCGTCAGTACTTTTGGACCTATGAAGAGATTTTGGGCAGATTTTTACATACTGCTCCTTTAAGGCCGTTAAGGCATTTCGGATTCATGGAACTAAAATCTGGAACAGTCTTCCTGAAAATATAAGACAGGCTTCTTCTCTGACGTTCAAATGATCTTCGATTGTGTTTAACAACAAGAAGGTCCTGGGTTCGATTCCACCTCCAGACAGGACCTTTCTGTGTGGAGTTTGCATGTTCTCTCAGTGTCTCTGTAGGTTTCCTCCAGGCGCTCTGGTCCGATGGCTCCTGTGTGTTTGTTTTTATGCTCTGATCTCTGCTGTTGTGATACACTGGGCGCTGTTGCACAAGTATTCCAATGTGGTTTTACTGCAAATGGCAAATAACGTGAATTTGAATCGGATGCAAAATCACCCCAAACAAATGTTTAAATAATCTTATGACGCTAATAATTTGAATAATAAATCTCTCATTTCTGTGTTACATAATCTCTCTCTCTGAGTAAACTTTGTCTCCCACATTTATTTTATATTGATTCTCTCTCTGTCCATGGGCTGTTTATTGACCAAGAAGAGGCTGAGCTCCTACATCGATACGTGTATATATATATATATATATATATATATATATACATATACATAACAATATTCCGTGTTAAACCTTTCCTTCCGTTCCAATTGAAAAGGACTGTTTGGAAACTAGAACATTCAGAGAGAGTCCAGATGTTCTGAGAGAGCTGTATACACAATATATCCACAATATATCCACAATATATATACATAATATAATATATACACAGTAAATTGTAGTATAGGTCTTTCACATGTATTAATTGTTATCTTTTTTTAGTGCTCATAGAAGTGTAAAGCACAAGGACAACTCACCCTCAAATCCACTTTTTTTTGCTGATAAACGGTATAAATGAGTGTCCAATAGTGTTGTCTACATATCCTGGTCATAATCTTGACACTTTGGTGCAAATTAGTTGAAAGTTAGACTTTCTGCCTAAAACCGCCTGTGAGGCGCCATCTGCTGGCGACCTGTATTACTACATTTGAATTTTGAATCTGGCGCCAACACTGGCACAGAAGTTGGACCTGACGTCTGCAAGTTGGACCTGACGTCAGCAGCCCCCCGCCCAGAGCAATGTAAACGGCCCAGTCTCGTTCACGCCCCCTTTAGTCCTCCAGGCTACGCCCATTTAGAGGAAGATTTGAACAGGAAATGTGAGTAACGTAAGCTCCGAGGAGCGGGGGTGAGAACCACTTTAAAGTGGTCTTGTGTGTGAACTGTGCTATACAAATAAACTTGATAATGGAGACTGCTCTCCCTCTGAGTCCCGTCTGACTTGGACCCGGTCTCTGCTGAAAGGCCACGTGGATAATATCAGCTTCATAACTAATGGACTCCTCGTGTTGGGACCGCGTCTGCCCCAGAGCTGGTCCTCACAGGTGCTACTCAGACCAGGCCCTGGGGCCAAACCATTCCAGGCCAAACCATTCCAGGCCAACCATGTCCAATGTGTGAAAGAGGAAAGAGTAATGAGGTTAAGTGTTCAATAGGGAAATGCTCAGTATAATTTAGCAAACTATATGAAACTTTGTGTCCAGTGCAGATCTGTTTAAAACATTTGAAACACATGTGTTAATAATAAAAATGCATTAGTTTTATAAAGCGCTTTTCTGGACACTCAAAGTCCTTTACATCACGGTGGTGATAAACTACTACTGTAGCCACAGCTGCCCTGGGGCACACTGACAGAAGCGAGGCAACCAGTCTGTGCCATTGGCCCCTTCCACCGCCAGACTCATTCTAGGCAATGGGGGTGAAGTGTCTTGCTTAAGGACATAACGGCAGTTATACATTACAGCTACAGCCCTCCCCACTGTGGCTGCTGTTCCCAGAGGTGAAGTGTCTTGCCCAAGGACACAACGACAGCAGACAGTGGGAGTCGATTGTGAAGGTCAGGCTCGAACCCACAACCCTCTGGCTCAAAGGCCAATGCTCTACAACTGAGCCACTGTCACCTCAATGTGTTAGGGTTTTCCCTAACACTAACACTAACACATGTGTCAGTGTTAGGGTTAACACTGACACATGTGTTAGTGTTAGTGTTAGGGAAAACCCTAAGTGTTAGGGTTGATATGTTAGTGTCAGTGTTAACCCTAACACTTAGTGTCAGTGTTAACCCTAACACTGACAAATGTGTTAGTGTTAACACTAACACTGACAAATGTGTTAGTGTTAGGGTTAACACTGACACTAAGTGTTAGGGTTAATGTGTTAGTGTTGTTAGGGTTAACACTGACACTAAGTGTTAGGGTTAATGTGTTAGTGTTGTTAGGGTTAACACTGACACTAAGTGTTAGGGTTAACACTGACACTAAGTGTTAGGGTTAATGTGTTAGTGTTGTTAGGGTTAACACTGACACTAAGTGTTAGGGTTAACACTGACACTAAGTGTTAGGGTTAATGTGTCAGTGTTAGGGTTAACACTGACACTAAGTGTTAGGGTTAATGTGTCAGTGTTAGGGTTAACACTGACACTAAGTGTTAGGGTTAATGTGTCAGTGTTAGGGTTAATGTGTCAGTGTTAGGGTTAACACTGACACTCACCTAGAGTCACTTGTGCTTTAAATGACTGCATGTTTATGTTCCTCTGTGTCTGCAGATTATCCAGGACCGTGTGGATTCTCATATTTCCAGAAATCATTTTCTGTGGAACTCTCTTCCTGGAGGTCTCTATGCACTGCCCCAATACTCCACGGACCCCTCGCAGTTCCCCTTCTACTACCACAGACTGGGTCAGTTAACTACCACAGACACTAACTACCACAGACTGGGTCAGTTAACTACCACAGACACTAACTACCACAGACTGGGTCAGTTAACTACCACAGACACTAACTACCACAGACTGGGTCAGTTAACTACCACAGACACTAACTACCACAGACTGGGTCAGTTAACTACCACAGACACTAACTACCACAGACTGGTCAGTTAACTACAATAGACACTAACTACCACAGACTGGGTCAGTTTAATGACACAGAGACTACCACAGACTGGGTCAGTTTAATGACACAGACACTACCACAGACTGGGTCAGTTTAATGACACAGACACTAACTACCACAGAATGGGTCAGTTTAATGATACAGACACTAACTACCACAGACTGGGTCAGTTTAATGACACAGACACTACCGCAGACTGGGTCAGTTTAATGACACAGACACTACCACAGACTGGGTCAGTTTAATGACACAGACACTAACTACCACAGAATGGGTCAGTTTAATGATACAGACACTAACTACCACAGACTGGGTCAGTTAAATGACACAGACACTACCACAGACTGGGTCAGTTTAATGACACAGACACTACCACAGACTGGGTCAGTTTAATGATACAGACTCTAACTACCACAGAACTGGGTCAGTTCAATGACCCACAGGTCAGTTTACACTACCACAGACTGGGACACAGACACTACACAGTCTGGGTCAGTTTAATGATACAGACACTACCACAGACTGGGTCAGTTAACTACCACAGACACTAACTACCACAGACTGGGTCAGTTAACTACCACAGACACTAACTACCACAGACTGGGTCAGTTAACTACAATAGACACTAACTACCACAGACTGGGTCAGTTAACTACCACAGACACTAACTACCACAGACTGGGTCAGTTAACTACCACAGACACTAACTACCACAGACTGGGTCAGTTAACTACACAGACACTAACTACCACAGACTGGGTCAGTTTAATGACACAGACACTACCACAGACTGGGTCAGTTTAATGACACAGACACTACCACAGACTGGGTCAGTTTAATGACACAGACACTACCACAGACTGGGTCAGTTTAATGACACAGACTCTAACTACCACAGACTGGGTCAGTTAAATGACACAGACACTACCACAGACTGGGTCAGTTTAATGACACAGACACTACCACAGACTGGGTCAGTTTAATGACACAGACACTACCACAGACTGGGTCAGTTTAATGACACAGACACTACCACAGACTGGGTCAGTTAAATGACACAGACACTACCACAGACTGGGTCAGTTTAATGATACAGACACTAACTACCACAGACTGGGTCAGTTTAATGACACAGACTCTAACTACCACAGACTGGGTCAGTTTAATGACACAGACACTACCACCTGACTGGGTCAGTCAGTTGGGTCAAATGACACAGACACTACCACAGGACTGGGTCAGTTTAATGACACAGACACTACCACAGACTGGTCACTGGGTCAGTTTAATGAATGACACAGACACTAACAGACTACCAGACTAGACTGGAGTCAGTTTAATGACACAGACACTACCACAGACTGGGTCAGATTCATGACACAGACACTCAACTACCACAGACTGGGTCCAGTTTAATGACACAGACACTACCACAGACTGGGTCAGTTTAATGCCCACAGACACTACTACCACAGACTGGGTCAGTTTAATGATACAGACACTAACTACCACAGACTGGGTCAGTTTAATGACACAGACACTACCACAGACTGGGTCAGTTAAATGACACAGACACTACCACAGACTGGGTCAGTTTAATGACACAGACACTACCACAGACTGGGTCAGTTAAATGACACAGACACTACCACAGACTGGGTCAGTTTAATGACACAGACACTACCGCAGACTGGGTCAGTTTAATGACACAGACACTACCACAGACTGGGTCAGTTTAATGACACAGACACTACCACAGACTGGGTCAGTTTAATGACACAGACACTACCACAGACTGGGTCAGTTAACTACCACAGACACTAACTACCACAGACTGGGTCAGTTTAATGACACAGACACTACCACAGACTGGGTCAGTTTAATGACACAGACACTACCACAGACTGGGTCAGTTTAATGACACAGACACTAACTACCACAGAATCGGTCAGTTTAATGACACAGACACTACCACAGACTGGGTCAGTTAAATGACACAGACACTACCACAGACTGGGTCAGTTAAATGACACAGACACTAACTCAGTTTAATGACACAGACACTACCACAGACTGGGTCAGTTTAATGACACAGACACTACCACAGACTGGGTCAGTTAAATGACACAGACACTACCACAGACTGGGTCAGTTTAATGATACAGACACTAACTACCACAGACTGGGTCAGTTAATGACACAGACACTACCACAGACTGGGTCAGTTTAATGACACAGACACTACCACAGACTGGGTCAGTTTAATGACACAGACACTACCACAGACCCTGGGTCAGTTTAATGACCGACAGACACTAACTACCACAGAATCGGTCAGTTTAATGACACAGACACTACCACAGACTGGGTCAGTTAAATGGACAATAGACACTACCACAGACTGGGTCAGTTTAATTACACAGACACTAACCACAGACTGGGTCAGTTTAATGACACAGACACATAACTACCACAGACTGGGTCAGTTTAATGACACAGACACTAACTACCGCAGAATCGGTCAGTTTAATGATACAGACACTAACTACCACAGACTGGGTCAGTTTAATGACACAGACACTACCACAGACTGGGTCAGTTTAATGACACAGACACTAACTACCACAGAATGGGTCAGTTTAATGATACAGACACTAACTACCACAGACTGGGTCAGTTCAATGACACAGACACTACCACAGACTGGGTCAGTTTAATGACACAGACACTAACTACCACAGAATGGGTCAGTTTAATGATACAGACACTACCACAGACTGGGTCAGTTTAATGACACAGACACTACCACAGACTGGGTCAGTTTAATGACACAGACACTACCACAGACTGGGTCAGTTAAATGACACAGACACTAACTACCACAGAATCGGTCAGTTTAATGATACAGACACTACCACAGACTGGGTCAGTTTAATGACACAGACACTACCACAGACTGGGTCAGTTTAATGACACAGACACTAACTACCACAGAATCGGTCAGTTTAATGACACAGACACTACCACAGACTGGGTCAGTTTAATGACACAGACACTACCACAGACTGGGTCAGTTAAATGACACAGACACTACCACAGACTGGGTCAGTTTAATGACACAGACACTACCACAGACTGGGTCAGTTAAATGACACAGACACTAACTACCACAGAATCGGTCAGTTTAATGATACAGACACTAACTACCACAGACTGGGTCAGTTTAATGACACAGACACTACCACAGACTGGGTCAGTTTAATGACACAGACACTAACCACAGACTGGGTCAGTTAATGACACAGACACTACCACAGACTGGGTCAGTTTAATGACACAGACACTACCACAGACTGGGTCAGTTAAATGACACAGACACTAACTACCACAGACTGGGTCAGTTAAATGACACAGACACTAACTACCACAGAATCGGTCAGTTTAATGATACAGACACTAACTACCACAGACTGGGTCAGTTTAATGACACAGACACTACCACAGACTGGGTCAGTTAAATGACACAGACACTACCACAGACTGGGTCAGTTTAATGATACAGACACTAACTACCACAGACTGGGTCAGTTTAATGACACAGACACTACCACAGACTGGGTCAGTTTAATGACACAGACACTACCACAGACTGGGTCAGTTTAATGACACAGACACTACCACAGACTGGGTCAGTTAAATGACACAGACACTACCACAGACTGGGTCAGTTTAATGATACAGACACTAACTACCACAGACTGGGTCAGTTAAATGACACAGACACTACCACAGACTGGGTCAGTTAAATGACACAGACACTACCACAGACTGGGTCAGTTAAATGACACAGACACTACCACAGACTGGGTCAGTTTAATGATACAGACACTAACTACCACAGACTGGGTCAGTTAAATGACACAGACACTACCACAGACTGGGTCAGTTTTATAGTAATAATATAGACACGCCCCTTTATGGACCAATGACTCTATGTGGTTATTTTTATTGTTCTATGTTCTATGTTTGAACTCTGTGATTCTCTAATCTGTGTTGGCAAATCGACAACTTAGTCAAATCCTCTGTGATTTAGGGCAAGACAAGAATAAATGGAATTGAATGGACTGGGATTGGGTGGGATTGTGCATTTGAAGCAGACATGATTTTAACATAAGCTGGAGCCAGTTTCCTTATATGGGCATTTGGGGTGGGGGAGCCAGAGCGCGTTGAAGCTTCTATATCCATGAGCACTTCCCTATTGGGCGAGGGGGGGGGGGGTTGTACTGTATTGTCTATGGCGGGGGGTCCAAGCAACAAAAATAGGAGCTGATAACGGCCAAAAGAATGAATTACGAACCGAGTTTAGCATGCCTGGTCTATGGGCTACACACACACACACACACAGAGACACACACACACACACACACACAGAGACACACACACACACACACACACACAGAGAGACACACACACACAGAGACACACGCACACACACACAGAGAGACACACACACACACACAGAGACACACACACACACACACACACACATACACACACACACACGGGTCGACTTCATAATGCCCTCAAAACATGCATATTGTGAATTCTCTGTGTCAAAAGTTTATCAGTGAAGTAGAAGAGTTGGTGAAGTCTGGTCCGTGGGTGTGTGCCGCAGAAACTGATCCATGTTTGTCTTTCTCTGAGGAGCTGTGGACTCAGGGGTTAGTGCGGTTCAGGGAGAGGGAATTGTGGGATATAGGCAGAGACGGGCTGTGCTAAATCTC